CTGCCGCCGACATTTGAACATTGACGAGAACTCAAGATGCGATGCCTCACCTTACGGAAAATGGGGTGGTAAAAAGGCATATCTCGTTCAAGGCAACGACAGAAAGGCCATCATGCGCGTCTTTCTTCCACTTGATCCTGGCTACCAGACTCGCGGTGAGGTGGCGACCATGCGGTGGATCAAACGAACAACCAGCATTCCAATTCCTGAAGTCTTTGCATTTAATGCCTCTAGTGATAACGAGATCGGCTTCGAGTGGATGCTCATGGAGTTTATGCCCGGCATACGAGCCCACAAACGTTGGCGAAAGATGCCGATGGCGCAGAAGGAAGCTATTGCTGAGAAGATGGCCGATTACCACGCACAAATTCTTGACGCCGGCACCAGGCTGAAAGAGTTTCGAACCATAGGGACTCTTTATTTCGACGAGCCCAAAGACAATGAGCAGCCACCCTCAGAGCTTCATTTCACACCAGGCAGGGTGGTTGATTACGTGTTTTTCTGCGGCAATAACTACAACTACGATATACCTCGAGGGCCATTTGAATCCAGCCAAGAATGGCTCAAGTCGCTCTTAAACATCATCATTCTGGAGAAAACCGCAGAAGCAGAAAATGCGGAGACCGAATCAGACAAGGATGAACCGGAAGCTATCGCGGAGGTCGAATGAAAACTTTTAACTGTGCTCCCGATAGTATTCTGCGATTCAAAACCTTCTCAACAGACTGTTCCTTGGAGCCCCATAACGGACTTGGAAGATATCTTGATAGACGACGATGGAAACATTACTGGCTGGGTAAACTGGAACTGTGTTTCCACGATGCCCTCTTGGTCTCTCACGCAAATGCCGTCATTCTTGGATGGCAAGGTGAGAAACCGAGAACCAGTCCGCGAAGTTTACGGTAACGACAATGGAGACGACTGGGAAGACGACGGCCTAGATAGTGAAGGGAAGACTATTCCGTATTGGGAACACTTGATGGAATTCGGGCAGACCAAACTGAGGAAGCTCTACACGGCGCGCATGGAGAAGTTACATCTTGGATGGACTGCGGAAGAGGAAAGGTATCCGGCTTGAAGCGTGACTTTTTGGAGGCGGCTTCCCGCTGCCGACATCTGTCCCACATTTCCGCATTTCGAGATTGGGCTGATTCAATAAGTCGAGGAGAGCTCCGGCGCCTTCAAGAATTTGAACAAGGTTCACGTTTCATTGACGGAGAGGAAGAGATAGTTTGAAATCGGAAATAACCTCCAAGATCATGATTGAAACAGCCCGTGGCATCTATGACAGTACAGTTCATCAGTAGTTCGTGGCCGAAGCCTAGAAAAAGCAACCAAAGTCTGCCATCCACCACACCCAGATGTAAAACGATGTGGAAAGTCGGGCCTAATAGTTGTCCGTGGCCCTATCGCGTTGGCGATGGTTGATGCCTGACTGGCTCCATCCCTTCGAGGCGCGCCTGAGGCTTGGGCCTGGTAGCTGGGCAACGCGTCGTGATCTTCTCCTTGTTCCCAAGGCACCCATCGAACAACGCTCTTGATGTCTCGCGACTATCCCAAATAGGGAATTCTTTATATTCAACGCAGTGGGTCCTCGACACAATCACTCTTCATCGAGGGGCATCTACTTCTTCTGCCCCGACTCTCTCTCCAGTCTCACTTCTTCCTTCCCTCCCACAACAACATCACGCACAACTAGTCAACCCACAATATCAACGCGACTGGTAATCCAATTGCCTCGTAATCACTCCAATATTGATCGCCTTACTATCAATTACAAAGATAACTCCCTTCTACCCTGCAGGCTGAGAAGTTGAGCATACACGGCGACTTATTCTATCTTGCGCCCTCAATTTCCCTCAATTGCCCTTGACGAGGTGCTCTCTCGCAGACGTCACCGATTATCAAGACGTTCTACAGGTTAGGACGATTACTTACATAGATCTCCACGAAAAAAAACAAAAAAAAACTATTACGTTCATGCCCGCCCCTTCCTTGATGATCGCCTCCTCGCTCGTCAGCGCGACCCCTCCACAACCTCGCGATGGTGAAAGATACTGACTTCGAAATAGCTTCCACAATGGGCTTGTTCGTTCGCGTCTTCGGCCTTCAGGCTCACGCCGCCAAAGACAACAAGACCGCAGTCGACAGCGATGTCGCTGCCAAGCACAGCACCCCTCGTTCTGCCCTTCGGAAGCCCTACAAGCAGCCCTGGGTGACTGTGAAGGCCACTTCGCACTCTCAGCCTTTGGCTTGCGTCACCATGCCTGACTCTCACGACGCGAACAAGACGCGCAAGCACATCATTGCATTCACCGAAGAGAGTCAGGGCGCCCAACACCTGTCTACCACTCCAGGCACAGACGGACAACAGCCCGACGGTGCCAACTCGGCCACCTTTCCTATCATTGAAGCTGAGACCCAAGACGCTGACTAGTCCTCACGCGTCGCGGACTCACCCACAACAACTAGAGCTTTCCCGCTCGCATCAAAGGGCGTCAGCTACCAGTCCATCGACATCGCCACTGGCGAGAAGACGCAGATTCACAGCCGCAGCGCGTCTGGCTCGAGCGCCGGCACCTCGTCTTCAGCTGGACAAAGCAGCACCCGCACCCTGAAGAGGAAGAAGGGCATCACTGGCCTTTCCGATCAATATCAGATCGACGGCAATTCCATCCAAGCCGACAACAAACAGCGTGTCAGGTCCATTTCCGTGTCCCAGGTCTCATTCATCAGCACCATTCGCACAGACACGGACTCAGCTCTTGTCGCCTTCCCCACCTTCAGATCAGCTGGTCGCCGTGGCGCAAAGCTCGATGGCCTCCTTGAGACCGAAGGAAAGCTCGCGCGATACAAGGACGTCGAGGAAAATCAGGCCGACGAGGGCTTCAACACCGCTGTTCTCGACCTCAAAGACTGGGCTCTGACCGGCCACAAGAACGTCATTGGCTACGAGACGTACTCCAAGCAGAGCGTCATCCAGGAGATCTACGAAGATCTTCCCAAGTCCGAGTGCGAGAACTTCGCGACCTCTCCCAAGTCTGCGCGCAACCTGCTCTTCGGAAACTACGAGACGGGACAGTACAAGATGATCCGCGCCAGTGACAGCGCGAAAGCTCCTGCGGAGACGAAAAAATGGTGTTTTGCCACCCTCGGAAGCGGCTTCATGCGCTTCATCCAGACCATTACCAGCGGAGCCGCACTCCTCGGCGCCTACGAAGCCTCCACTGCCGGGAAGATAGATACCAATACAGATGATGGAGAGACCTACGATTGGGCCGTGTGAACCACTCCCGATGACTGTGTGAGATTCCTGCGCTTGGCGTGTATTGTAGGCTACCATAAGCCCCTTGAGCTCAGTCTGGACCCATACCAGACTTGTGTGCTCCCACTCTTCTTGAGTGGTCCAAAAGGGTTGCCGTTGTACTCTGCATGATGATTGGTCCACTTGGTGTCTGGAATCGGTAGCGATGCTTTCCAGCTTGTTGTAGTGACGGATGTCTGCATGCTTGACGTAGGATGAAGAAAAATTGGTGCTTGGGATAGAATGTGGTATGGAATGGTTGTGATGATTTGCTTGGGTTTTGGCTCTGTCGTTGTCTTTGCTTTGGAGTTTGTATTTTGGACGTGCTGCGCTGGGACTTGGAGTTTGTGGCAGAATGGCGCGCCCTTGGCAGCGTGAGATGATGAGTAGACTACAGAGAAGGGGCTTGAGTCCAGTTGTGTGGGAAAAGCGAGCGCGGTGAAAAGCATGACCAAGAATAACGGTGATTGTGGATGACAAAATGGAGGAGACCTGATCGAGCAATTCACTCAGCTGACGAAACACGTTCATCGCAGTCAATTATTACTTTAGACCAGGCAAGTTGATTCACATGCGGCATAACGAGTGCTTAATCGTGTTCAATAACTTAAACATTCTAGTGGCTCTCTTCTTCTGTGAGCGGCCGGTATGCCTTTTGGATTTTGTTCCCCTCATGCCTCCCTGGCCAATTTAATACAGTTTGGCCCTTCCGGGGGAAGCTGTCAAGGTAGGCAATCACTTGCGTGACTATGGTGACCTTGATGTCTCCCTCGTCACTGCGGTCTATGTGTCTCTTTTTAAAGATACTTAGACAATTTCACAAGTAGTTCTAGGCATTTTGGAATACTTGTCATGTGGAATAGATCACTGATCGGCTCCGTTGTTGATCTGGTGGTGGTGGTCGCTGTGGGTGCCTGGTGGGTACCTCACCCCGTGATGTCCATAGCAACCAGAGCTGCCTCGTCAGGCCAACGTCCATAAGCCATACCTTCTCTGCCCGCGGGCCCAAATTCTTTCCATCCTCATACATCTTCTACTGCTCGCTAGAGACCCTCCTTAAATCTCCCAAGAGGCTTGTCGCGCAGTGTACTTACAGTACCAGAAATTTCAAAAACCTGGCGACACTGTTCTAGCATGACGACGCCCACTTCTAAAGGTATGTTCTGATACAGTTGCAATGACTTCAATTACCGCACTCCCGCATGCTCTGACGAGTCCCGTCTTCCCTGCCGTTGCTAACGTACTTTATGAATAGTGATGGATTGCTACAAATCACCGCTGGAGGCGATCAAGGACGATGGGCTTTGGCCTTTCATCAAAGACGCTGTCTCGGGCCAAACTGGTCAAATCGTGAAGGTGCTTCTTCCACATCGAGAGACTGATCGCGCGGCAGGATCCGTCTCTATCTAGCCTTGGGCTTAGTGTTGCGAAGACCGCCTTCTCTAAAGTGACTGTCCAGTCACTCTTACTGCAGCTCACGACATGCACCATCGCACAATCTGCTATGTCACAATGCGCACACAAATTTGACGACACTCACAGGCAGAGCATCAATTTGACGCTAGCAGCTAATCATGAGGTTTGCGAGATCATCCAAACCAATCGACAGGAGTACGACGATGACTAGGAGTCAGACTTCGATCCTGTTTCGGTGACTCGCTGGCAAAGAGGAATCACCCAGGAGGCCTCAGTGGCAATGCTGGAACGCTTTCGCGAAGATGATGACCAGAGTTCTGGCCTCGATTACGCCAAGCTAGACGACGAAGACCTTATGCGTCGCGAGGAAACACACGAGAGCGTCATGAACTACAACGACTATGCCAGCCAGCCCCATATCCAACAATTCCACGCAGATATGGATCGTAGCGAAAGCGCTGAGGACTGCAGAAAAGGCGGAGAGGAGGAGGACGACGGTGAGGACAGTCACAGCGACGACATCAGTCATGGTAGACAAGACGTCCGAGAGGCCCAAGTCTTGTTCTTTGAACCATCCGATGATTCTCCGGCTCGCCCGAGACCCTACACAACTACTTGGCTTGACGTTGCCGGGTGGATTCACATGACCGAGTCGAAAGACACTGCGGCGCTTTCTAAGGACAATCAGAGCCCCAGACCGTCCCCCGCCTCGTCCACTCGCTCACATAGAGCCCGTCTTCGCCGCCAGGATATTCTGAGCTGCTCAAGGTCCTGCAGACGCTCTCATGGATCTGATGGCCCGCTAGTTCTTCATGATACAAAGATATCCATTAAGACAGTACTTAAATTATCGGTGTCGGGGTGACGGATGTAAAAATGGTGGCATTCTAGTCCTGTTGTTGCAGTAGGTATGAGAGTGGGCATTTGACGTTGTTCTGTAACTGAGATTGGGGTTCGACTTTTACTGGGGCAGGAATGTGGAAGAGGCGAGGCTTTTGTTTGTGACTGCGCGTGTCACCTAGAAGTACGGGATTCTCAGCTTGGCATAGGCACTGAACAATTATGCTGTCTGTGTAGTACGAGCTTTATCATTAAATCAGACAGGTGTTCCTCACCAATATTTAGCAAATTTCGTGAAGCACAGTGTTCTTGGTGACAAGTCCCCAAAGCCGAGCCCATTGCATATCTGTGATAATCGATGCCGTCCTTGTGGCCCTTGTCGGCGTCTCTGTCGTTCTTTATCGTCCTTCCCAATTAGAGATGCATCCGGATAACAAACTTGTATCGCAATGGATCCAATGATTTCGATGGTCCTTTAATAAGTACGCAATATACCAAGAAAGCGTCGGCCGTATCCGGGTCAATATGTCGCGCCGCTTGTGCCTGGCAGACCTTTCTACTTCGAACTTGGTAATATTTGAAAGCAGTTGAAACTTCAGCTCGTATACCAGGCTGGTAACCCTCTCCTACGAGAAGAAGAGCCGATGTTGTAATATGAAGTTTACACGCAGCTAGCTATTAAAATGGGCCTGTCGTCGAAAAAGAGATTAAATCTATGTTGAATAGTAAATCTCGCTACCATGAAAGGGGCGCAATAACGTCGATCTCCAGTTTGCGCCCTTCGGCCATAAATTTCGCGCCAGCTTACCTTCCGTGAACACCCTGGGAGTCTTCTCGAGCGTCGGGTATACGCTGCAGTACTGTTTACGATCGTTTCCATGGAGATCAGCGTCTTCTCTCGTGGTCGAAGGTCAGGTTGGGTGCTGCCTCATGCCCAGGGCAGCAACTCTGCCGGCCCCACCCACACACGCCCGTCACTTACATCTCCCCCTCCCACACACCCCTCCTGGCTTTTCATCTCTCTCTTCTCTCCTCCACATGACGATTCTTCTTCTCTCAACCCTCACTACTCTGGTCCAAGAAAAGAAGCAATCGCAAAACCCATCCACTAGCGACAAATCGCGCGCCTTCTGTCTTTCTCCTTCTCCGAAGCTGTCGCTTTGACAGTCGCAAAGTAGTCGATCGTGCGCCCCCATCAACCCAGCATCACTCACAGATTGCAATCAGAGCCATTCTGAGAATTGAAAAGAAACTGAATTGTCTTTTGATGATACATCACGTACGTGACAGCCGCAAAGACACGCGCAAAGCCCAGACAATTGGTAAGTTGGTTGCTTCGCTGCGTATGAGCGCCGATTCTAGGGTTACCATCATCTTGTCAACAACCTCACGCGAACGCGTAGCGGTACTGACATCTTTCCAGAACTTCCACGCGTCGACGCGTCTCTGAAACAAGAATTCCACAGAAGAACTCTCACGGTCTTACAAGCCCGCCTTGGCAGGGGCACATCTGTCAAAGCTATGGGCAAGGTAGACATCATCGAACTTTCTCGTAGCACTCAACGGGCTGGGATTACTGCTTCCGCGCCAGCACTGGCAGTATCCGCTCCTCTGAGAATCAACTTTGGTCCACTACGTCGGCCCTGGGTCTACTCTCCTTTCACGATGGCACGATTTACCTGCCGCGTCGAGATGGCTCTGGAAACCATCACCCACCCAGGACGCCAAACCCAGAAACCCTGCGAGGGCGAGTATGACCTCAAGACATGGGCCTCAGGTCCTTTTGGCGATCCAGTAGAAGATATTTTGGACCAGATTATCGACATGTACGACGACTAGAACTCGTCGGAGCCGTCAGAGACTGGCGACACTTCCTCGGCCATGAGCCTTGAACTCGCGCGAAACTGCACAAAAAGTCCAGGTAAGATAGGACCATTCTCGCCACCTGGCCATTCGAGAAGCGTTAACAGTTGCAAAGCAGGTTCCGATTCCGAGATTGGTGCGAGTTCCATTGGGAGCGGGTCTCCCTATCCTCGACCTTATATCCGCCTCGAGACCTCAACCGGTGACGAAGACAGCTTGATGATTTCATCGCGATTCCACCAAAGCTCCATTGACAGGGAGTTTGAAGGCGATTGCAAACATCTTCCAGCATTCAATAAACGTGGGACAAAGGTATGTGACATGGTCAATGGTCTCGTTCAGGAGATCGACGCTCTGCTGGAGATCCCCGAACTTGTCTCCTTTCGCAAGCGACATCCTGACATGTCCGACTCGGAAGAAGACGTCTACGCCGACCCCTCCGCAAAGCCTGAGCCTCTTTGTGTGTCAAAGAAAGGGACACTTTGCTCCTCAGCAAAGCCAGCACCCTTGAATATCCAGAAGGACACAACGACAGACCCACCTCCCAACGACACCTTGGCCATGCCCGGACCGTTGCAGATCAACAAAATCAAGCGGAAGCCCGTGGCTTCTAGAGTCAGCAGAATCCCCTTGCGAAGCAATTCGGCGAAACCTGTAGCTCCGTCTCTCAAGAAGAACATTCTCCAGCCCATTTCAGGGAATGGAAAAGGCTGCCGAGATCGAAATGCAATGTCTGACAAGGAGAACTGGCAGTCCCGGCCAAACGCAAGCACAGAGCTCGCAAGAAGCCAGGTCAATGCGCGATGGGCTGATTGGTCTCTTGAGGCACAGGATGACACCTCTTTATTCGGAGAATTCTCTTTGCTCCAATCTCCCAGGAAGAGAATGGCTTCGAAGAAAGACGGTCTGTTCTCAAGCCCTGATCCCGTCATCTGCATCGACCCAGAGGAGCGAAGTACGTGGTTGGACCTCGACAAGACAATCACTGGCCCTACCACACCCCTTGCCGTCATCCCGGAGGAGGATGAAGCTGATGAAGATGACTCAATTGATTTCCTTCTCGATCCGATTCAAAACGCGCGAATCCGGCCGAATCGCAATCTCCTGATCGATTGCAGTGTACCGTTGACCTGGGACAAAGAGGCGGCATCGGCCACTTGCATTCAAACAATCTCGCCCGACGACAACAGAAGCTCCTTCATTGCCACTGCATTCCATGATTCCCCTTGTCCCCGACGATCTATCAACATCGATGCCCTAATCCATCAAATTGCACAGCCACTCGATGAAGCTACTTATGATGACGATGGATTCCTCATTGAACCCAAGGTTGATGAGCTTGATGAGCTTGATGTAGGAGTCACTGACCTAGATGAACAACTCAGCCGTCGCCAGGCCTATCCCAGCCAGATTCTACTCTGGCCTCTCCGTCATTCCCAGCAGACTGCCGAATCTGCGGAAACCGGGGACGAAGATGCAAGCTCGTTCGGTGTTCCTTGCAATCGTGACGAATGGTGCCTTCCTGAAGATCGACTACCTGAGGTGTACCATTGCGGAGAGTTCCTGTCGCTAAGAAAAAGATTTGCCGCAGGATCGCACGATGCTGAAGAGATCTGAGTAGCCTACATGGATTGTGTGGTGCCCTTATTGCTTGCCTGAATGATTGGATGACTGACTGGAGCAGCTTTGAAATATGGACTGAAGTAGAGATTGGTGCTTACACCCTGTTGATGTTGGCTTGTAGACCTTGATGAGGCACATGATTAATTTTCCGTAGGTTGAATGAGATGGTATCCTCTGGCTAGGCATGTTGGCGCCCGCTGAATGACAAATGGATAGATGGGTGGCAACCTTGGGTTTGCGAACTCTGTAGAACTATGGCTGGCCTGGAAATAGAGTCAGTGGCCAGGCTTATGCTTTTATGCTTAATGATTTCAACCAATTGATATCGCATGAAGTCAGATGCGTATTTATTGCACCTTCACATGAACATTGTGTGGTTCAAATCTGACCAATGATCCTAAATGTAATGCTGGGGGCTTATGTGTCTTACCGTTCCACGATAAATCAAAGTGTAAGATGGGAATTCTTTTCATCAATGTGCCTCAAATCTATGATTGCAAACGCTACGTATCTCAAATGTGTTCCGGGTATCTCGATTTCAATCATGTTTCGCTGAGTCCGTAAGTTCTACGCTGGCTTCCGCTACATCCTTGTAGCTTCCCTGATCTTCACTAGTAGCCTCGCTGGCATTTTCCAAAGGCTCGAGTTCCTGCTCATCAGCAGTCTTTCCCAACTCTTCGTCTACTGGACTTCCACGCCCGCGCGTTCCAATGGCAGTCTCGATGCGCGACCTCGTCGAGCTCATCCACCCAAGCAAGCTGTCTTCTTTGAATGCCCTTCTTCTATGCCCGATCGTGGTTCTGCTTCTCCTCGCGCTGACCATCGGGTTCGGATCGCGTGCTGGTGGGCGGTAATGCCATTGCCAAAACCGGCGTGAGAATAGTGGGCGGAGAATCGGGGCATTGATGGCCATAAGCCCGATTTCGCATTCCCTTACGCCCCATCGGTTGACCGTAATCGTTGAGGGGTCCGAACCTAAAGTCACTGCCAATCTCATTATCGCCGCGGCTATGACGAATAGCCCTGAGCAGATGAGAACAGCGATGAACAGCTTCTTGTATAGCGGAACTCTGATCTCTCTCAAAACTGGCAGTGGCAGACACAGAATGGCCGCATCTGTTATGACATCTACGAGACAGTCAACATGGGACAGCTATAGCAGTGGCTGGAGTAGGACGAGACTGACTGAAGAATGTCGTGACTAGGAGATTCTGTGCCTTGAAGACGCACTTCTCACTCGGAAGGGGTCGCACTCCCCAATTATCCTGAAAGCTGCCATTGTAATTGGTACCAAAGCCTTCAAATCGCTAGACGGCTCAAACTTACGGTAGGCAACTGAAGGTTATTGTGCCAACAACTGCTAGGTATGCAGCTATTGTGAACCAAGTCAGGTATGTCAGTACCCTTGCGTGTTGCCACAGATCAAATGTCATCCGTCTGCTATTGAAATGGTTAGCAGAATGGCCATTGCAAACCGAGCCTATCATCTTACTAAAAGAAGAGCAATGTGCCTTTCATGGACCATAGGTATGCCGTGTATGAGTACCAAGCAACTTGCTGGAACTTGGAACCCTCCACCAACCGAGCAACTTCCTCGTCGTTGAGGAGTTTGATCTGATCAGCGGTGAGGTCCACGTTGGTGCCGTAGCGGTCTGTACCTTCCTGTCAGTATGACTCCTCCCCGGTCTGTCTTGAGTCTGTGTTTTTGCCATTCAGAACACGTTATGGTAACTTACAAACGAGATCCACCATCACGAAACAGATAGTGTACATGATTAAAGTCTGCGCAGTCTCTTGTGTCAGAAAATCAACCCCTCGATGACTCGATTGCGATACTCACCACGAACATGACATAGTCGTCTCCCTTGAGACCTTTCGGCCCTACCATGCGGATCCGAACGAAGAAACGGAGGAATATGACGACGGCTCCGACTGTGAACCATGTCCAAATTTCTCTCAGAAACCTTGCATCGCGCCGCAGCATGCTGTCCAGCTGTTCCGTCCCCATGGCTGCTACTGCTGCTGCTGTCGCGTCGCCTCGACGCCCCGACTCAGGCGGTAATCATACGTCTTTAGCTCTCAATCAATTGAATCGTAAGTGCGTTCCGGAGCTTTCCCAAATTTTCAGCATTATGATTCCGTGAGTTCCGTGGACATTTTCGTCAATGCTTAAGCGCTCAGCGGAAGAGTTGCTGCCCCGCACACAGCAGCCACGGACACGCGGCGACACGGGAACGCGGGGGAACGATTGTACGCTGGCTATACTGAGTTTAATCCCCAGCAAGTAAGGTAGAAGATCGGACGTCCTTTTGATGACTCGCAATTGTTTCGTAGCCTCAACTTTATTCCTCTAGTGCGCCCTTCAGCAACGTTCGGAGGCCGAAAGCCTATCCGCGATTTGCCAGCTTCTAGAACAACTAAACCGCGGACTGAAGACCGGCCTTCCGACCCCTGGAAATATTCCACAAAATAAAGGGTTGCAATTTGTAGATCACTGGAGCTTCGCCGCCCCCGAATGTTTGCCGCGTTTACAACTATTCAGTCTGAGGTCTGTGCAGGCCTGTCTCGTCCTCTGCTCGGCACTATCAGTTCGGTGGTTGGTTACTCTTTTCAACGATGGGCAAATTGGCCAAAGCGTCGTCTCAACGCAGTCTGTTCGCCAGCCTTTCAGGGACACTTCGACTCAGCAAGGATTCAGACGCGTGGCCGACGTGGGCAGAAATTCTTTGTCTTCGAGACGGATGTCAGGCTAACCTTGATACGCGTTTATGAAGCCACACTGTTCATCACTTGTCTTCAGAAAATGGCATCAAAAATTGGTATTGGTATTTATCAACAGTTGTGATTACTATTAACATGAAGCGGTAAAAGAGCATCTCGGCATGCCGAGTGTTCAACCTGCAACTCGAAGGAGCAATGCAAGCCCACGCCCCCGGAGGGTTGCGGAATCAGTTGCCTCAAGCAGCAATTTAGGCAGTGCGCTTGACGAGGAAAGCACCACGCTCAATGGTGTTGACCAGGATGTAGCCGCTCTTGAAGTAGGGGTAGTGGCTCCAGGTGCCGACGAAGTCGATGGATCCTCCGTTGGGCTCGGCGTCGTTCTCGGGGTAGATGTCGAAGAAGCCGACCTCGGTGACCTTGCCGCCGGTGGGGTCCTCGGGCAGGGAAGAGACGTCGATAACGCGGAGGCCGGCGCCGTAGTGGCTCTGGTAGGCGAAGCCGTCAATGACGAACTGGTTGTGGTCGATACCGTAGGCGGCGCTCTTGTAGACACCAGTTTGCTTAGGAGCCTCGAGGGAGCGGATGTCCCAGAAGTAGGTGATGGGGTATCCAGAGGCAGCGGGGCCAGTGGC